GTGTGAAATGGAGATTTATGGTTTCATGTAGACTTTTCTTTATTATGGAAATGTTCTTTTTTGGTGTTTAAGTTTTTTTTTTTTTAGTAAAAAATTTCAAACAAAAGGGTTTATATTTTATTCTAGAGGCAGTATGGATCCATGGAGCCTCTGGAGTTGAAGGGAGTGGGGTATGACATGATGAGACCTGAACTTTAGGAAAATCACTTTGTCAGTCATGGAAAAGAGGCTTGAGGCAGGGAAACCAAATTAGGAGGTTGTTGCAGTAGGCCACAGGAGAGACGGTGAGGACCTGAACCAGGTGGTGGCTGTGTAAGTGGAGAGGAGGGGACTTCTGCTAAAGAGGTTGTAGAGATAGAAATGAAAGAATTGGCAGTGTAGATTGGAGAGGTAAGAGTTTGGAGGATGACACTGAAATTGCAAAGCTGGGTTTGACTGTGAAAAGATAGTGCCACGCTAAAAAGTAATAAAGAAATTCGGAAGAAGGGTGAATTTGGGGGAAAAGATAATGAGGTCTGTTTTGGTTGTGTTGAGTTTGAGATGACATCTGGTTTTAAATGTCCAGTAAACATTTGATATGGGACTGGAGCTCAGGAGGGAGACTAGGGATAGATAGATTGATTGGTAGATCTGAAGTCATCTGCATAGGATTAACAACTGGATCCGTGGATGTTGATGAGGTCATCCAGAAAGATTTAGAGTGGAAAAAAGGAAAGGACCCATGGCAGAACCTTGGGAGTCCCCTCACAGAGTAGGAGTGATACTGATGACTCAGCACATCAGATTTAGGAGAGAGCTAAGTGATGAAAACCTGAAGAGGAGAAAATATCAAGGAGAGAAGAAATGAGTTGCACTCAAATGCTGCAGGGAAGTTGAAGAGGAACGAGGTCTGAAATTCATTGACTTCACTGAAGAGCACAGCAGTTGAGTGAGGGAGGATGACAGATTGTAGAGGATTAAGAAAATAGTGATAAAGGAGATGAATTGGAGGACAGGTATAATGACTTTTTCAAGGAGTTTGGCTGAAAAAAAAAAGAGGAGACATATAGGACAATAGTTACTGGGTATGATAGGGTCTAGTGAGGGAGGGTTTGTTTGTTTTTTAGCCATTAGCAAATATTCAACTTTGCCACACTGTTCTTGGAAGGATTGCCAGTCTACTGTGGTACTACTCACCATCTACTGTGGTCTACTCACCATCCTTGCCATTTTCAGTGCCAAAGTGCCCCTTTCTCTGCCTCTCACTTATGTAATGTTTGCCCCTGTTAGAATGAAAGTTCTTTGAGGGCTGTAACCATCTTTGCTTTTGTAACCCCAGAGGTTAGCCTAGTTCTTGGCCTGTAACGCTTAAATATTTTTTCATTCATTGAGAGTACATACTGACTATATAAGAAGAAAAGTGAATAGGATTGAATGGACAAGGAATCTTGATGAAAGCTAAGAGGCAGTGACTGAAAAATTATTACAATTTATGTTTACATAGTAAGGATCTAGGAGGAGAAGGTTGTCAACAGTGACATATGCTTCAGAGAGGTCAAGAAGAAGCCATCTGGGCTGGTAATAAAATATCTTGGTTAGCTTTGAAGAGAGCATTTTCAGTTCAGGGAGGGGCCTAGGAAGGTTGAGAACTTGTGAGACTTGGAGGGATGGTGATACCCTCAGGGAAAAAGGGAAGAGAGGTGGATTTGGATGTGTAATGCATATTGCATAATCATAGCCTGAGCTCTTTCCTGCCAAAAAATGAGAGTGTCCATTTTGGGGAAGCCTCATCATTCAGCTAGACTGAGCTACCACCATGGTGGAGTATAGCATGAAGAGAGAACAGGAACAAGGCAAGGAAGTTTACTATTTTGTCTGTCTAATTCAGATTATGTTCTGACTTGAGGGCCCTGCTTCTGGGCCAGGAGTGGGAGGATTAGAGTTAGGGAATATTGAAGAATGGTATAGGTGTAATAAACCCATTCGTGATTGGCTTTCAGGAAGCATTCTTCAATCAGTTGAGATCAAGCCTCAGCCCTCTCTTGGGAGACAGCCACTCTAATGGCCTTTCTTTTTTAGGGATGGGAATCTACCAGTTTCTCATTCTCCAAATTCTTCACCCTTCATCGTTCCCCTATAATAGTTTGTTAAGTTCTTTGTGAGCTGGGGCTGGTTTTATACTTTTTACATTCCACACAAGGCTGCTGTTGTGTCGTTTCAATCGTGTCCAACTCTCTATGACCCCCGTTTAGAGCTGTGACCCCATTTGGGGTTTTCTTGGCAAAGATACTGAGTAGTTTACCATTTTCTTCTCCAGTTCATTTCATAGATGAGGAACTGAGGCAAACAGGGTGAAGTGACTTGTCCAGAGTCACACAGTGAGTAAGTGTCTGAGGCCGGATTTGAACTCAGATCCTCTAAGTTCCAAGCCCTTCATGGGTCACCTAGCTGCCTCCATACAGGGCCTGGCCAAGTAAATACTGGTTAGTTAATTAGTGCTTTACTACCACAGTTGCCACAGTGTTTTGCTGTGAATTCAGGAAGCCTGAAGTACAAGAAGAGTCGGGATAACCATGTAGATACCTCCGTTAGGCTATCTGTTGGCAGATTTGTTTGGTGCTGGTAGCATTGTTGTCGTTACACAGGATATACTGCTGAGATTAGGTCTGGCTTCATGAATAAACTCACTTACCAGGCACTTTGAAGCTGTTTCAGAATGTTCTCTGTATCACATGCATCTATAATGGATCCTTAGATTTTCCTCCCCAGGCATTCCGGGCACTTCTGACTTGAGATTGCTCCTGTTCATTGAACTTGCTATCTTATTAATATTTTTCATTTCACCAAGATCATTGGACTTGGACGTCTTTCTCTCATCTGATACAGTTCCATGAATGAAATGTGGGATAATCCTGGAGCTAATTCAAACCCAGGCCTATACAGTGATTAGTTTGATATTTAAAATAGGTCTGCAATGAGAGTGCCACATTTTGTTTTCATTTTAGTAATTCAAATAAACATTATCTTAGTTTTAGTCATTTCATGACTATATTGCATAAGAATCAAAACCCAAAGAAATGCCATCTGTCTAAGCTGGTGAGGCATTCAGCAGGAAGGATAGTAACCATTTGGAAGTAAAATACAAACCTGGCTAAGAGTCAGGCTTTGCAAACTAATATTTAACTTCAGCACAAACCCTACACGTAGGCTTTAGAAATATTTTTTGGATTGAAATAGAATCTTTATCAGAACTGTAGAGAACCCAGCTTACAGAGAGGATTCACTCATTAAAAGCCTAAAGAAAGATGATCATTATGCAGTTAGAAATATTCATCAGCTCCCATTTTTTCTTAGTATTCTTTCTTATCTTAAGGGAATGACAAATTTGAATGTCTCTATTCAACTCAGACTGGCCATTATTTTTCAGTTACACTATGTGTACATTTTTCCAGAAATGGAGCAGAGTAATAGGAAAATACTTATTTTGCAACTTAATCATTTTTGAAAGGTGGAATCTTAATTATTGAGAACTCTAGAGGCTGAGAACCTATTACATAGTACCTGCTAGACAGAAAATTTCCTTTATGGGTGTAGTGTTGGGGTTCTCAAGCCTTTTGCAGTACCCATACTGCTTTGCCTTTCCATAAACTGTACCATAACAGCATCCTCCCTTTTCAATTTGAAAGGAAATAAATTCTAGAGTTTACTATGCATGTACACATAAATAAATGGGTTAATTAAGCTTGATAGGATAATATAGTTGTTTGCCAGATATTCACAGTACTCTCCATTGATAAGTTTCTCATGCCCCCTGGATGCATATCCTAGGTTCCAAACCCCTGGTCTGGTGAATTGTTTGCCTTCCTCTATCCAGAATGGGGAGAGATTTGTTAAATTTGTGTTTTTAAAAAATATGATTTTAGGATCTTAAATTCATCAAAGCATGCTTTTTAAAATAGCTTAGTAAGTATACATGTAGCATGAATGTAATGGAATACTGTTGTGCTACAAGAAATGATGAACAGGCTGACTTCAGAAAAACTTGGAAAGACTTGTATGGACTGATGCTGAGTGAAGTGAGCAGAACCAAGAGAACGTTGTACACAATAAGAGCCACGTTGTGTGATGACTGATATTGATAAACTTAACCCTTCCTAGCAATACAAGGATCTAAGACATCTCCAAAGGCCTCGGGATGGAAAATGCTATCCACATCCAAAGAAAGAACTATGGAATTTGAATGCAGATCGAAGCATACTATTTGCAATTTTTTTTCTCTTCTGTTGAGTTTTGTTTCCTCTTTCTGGTGGTTCCTCCTGTTGGTTCTAATTTTTACTTACAACATCACTAATCTGAAAATATGTTTAATAAGAATGTATATATATAGCCTATATCAGATTGCGCCATCTTGGGGAGGGAGGTGGGGAGGAAGGGGTAAAAAAATTTTTCACTCCAAAGCATATGGGAATGGTTGTTGATAAATCAAAATAAATTAATAAAAAAAAAAAAGTATACATATAGCAGAACTTCACATCCTGCCCTTGCCTAACCCTATCTTCAGTGTACTGACTCTTTTGGAGAATGAGAAGAGGAAAGGCATAGAGGTGGAATTGAAGTGAATCTTGCAAGGAAGCCATGGATGCTTAGAAAAGTGTGTGTCTGTGTCATGATGGAAGGGAGGCAGGCAGAGGGACAGTGAGGGTCACTGGATAGTCATATAGCATCATTGGGGGAAATGTCAGAAACTAGAGATGTCAAATAAAACTTACAGCAAACACTAAATTGTCCAGATTTCCCCGGTTTGAATTGTTGCTGATCCTGAATGATCCAGATAGGAAGTTCTCCCCTCATTTTGCTTTGTCTTTAGAAATGCCCAAGTGTGGGACTGAGTCTGCTCATTCAGCTCAGGCATGGAATACCTCCTGTTATATAAACAATCAGATATGTTAGGAAATAAACAGGCTAAGGGATGGTTCAGAGGCATAGCATGCTTATTATAATGTCTCCTTTTTTCCTTTCAGAAAAGATACAGTTTGGCAGTAGGTCCTCCTAAAAGAGATCCCAAAGTCAAGGGTGTGCAGTCAGCAGCAGTGCAAGCTTTCCTCAAGCGGAAGGAAGAGGAGCTGAGGAAAAAAGGTGCTTCACCATTTTGCCCTCAGCTCTCCCATTGTTACAATTCCTTTGTACTTACCATTTAATGTACTTGCTTGTTCTTGTCATTCTTGTTTATGGTGTAAAGGATTTTAGTGCTTGTCCTATGATCCTTATTAGATTATAAATTCCTTAAAGCCTGAGACTGCCCAATTGACCATGGCTCTCCCTGTCTTACCGTATTTCAGCTTAATGCCCCCCCCTTTTTTTTTTGCTGAGAGCAGCCTTCTTTTGAGACTAGCTATGGGCATGATATAATTTTTGTTCTGAAAATATACAACTAAATGAGAAAATCAAATGAATTCTGCATCATTTTTACAATTAATCCTATTTTGTAACTTACTCTGTTCTGTAACCCTATTCTGTATTTTGTATAACAGTCTAAGCCCTTTGCTCTCTCTCTCTAAATGAAGCTTATGAGTTCAAAAGTTTAGTCTTTCAGTTAAAATGCAAAAGTTCTGTTTTCCTATCAATCACTTTTAATTGAAGAAAAACTCTGAACTAAGTTCAAAAGTTCAGTGCTTTCATAAAACACTTTAATTCAAAGGGAATTGTTATCCTAGCACTACCTGCAAATCACTTCATATCAAGGAAACTTGTCATCATCTATACCATTAATTATACTGGTTCAATTCCAGGACATGTTGTTATCTTTGTGGCCAGCATGGGGCCATTCCAGGAAATATTTTGTCTCCAGCTGTTTTTGTACAACTAGAGGAAATTTATCTACCATTAGTTATTCCTGCAAGATTGAGGTAGACAATATCCATCAACATTGGATGGAAGGAGGGGTTACCTGCCCACATTCTAGACTTTTAAACAGTCATATTATGCCCGCCCCTGTGATGCTGTCAATCCTTTAACCAATTATGTTGTTCTCCCTATCTACCAATTTCTATTCTTTGTTCTGTGCTTATAAAAAGAGGCTGCCTGCCTCTCTTCCTTAAGGTCTTTGGGCTTGGCGAAGAAGGCCTTGACTTCTTTATTATTAAATTTACACTTTACTAATAAGCTAATAGTGCTCAGAGCTTTGTAACTCAATCTACTTGATTTTACTTGCAACATAAAACATATAGTAATATAAAGGCAATGAAGCAATTAATAGAAAAGCTAAATCTTAGTAACCGTGAAGTCCAAGAAATAGTCATAGTTCCTTCAGAAGGCAAATGATTAACTTGAAGGTTCTTGGAGACTGAGCTAATTTGTGAAATCAGCTTGCTAAACCATTTTGTTTTGATTGACTAAGTCTTTCATGTGCTTAGTCATATAGAAAACCATGAGTAACCTACTCATTATGTGAATGAATGACATTATGTGATACTTGTTTAGAATAACTTCCTTACTCAATTCCTAGATGTCTATGAAGTTATAGCTTGAATCTTGTGTTTCTCTAGTTTCAAAATGGCAAGTTGTTACCTTATTGTTCTTTTAACATATTCCTATCAATCATTTTTAGCCTTAGAGGAAAAGAGGAAAAAGGAGGAGCTGGTGAAAAAGCGCATTGAGCTAAAACATGACAAAAAAGCAAGAGCCATGGCAAAGCGGACAAAGGACAACTTCTACGGTTATGATGGGATTCCTCTTGAAGAGAAGTCGAGGAGGAAGCAGGCAGTCGAGGGACCTGCAGTCCAGGGAGCAGCAGACCAAGAATTTTTGAATGAGGAAGAAGCAGAATCTTTGGAATATTGTCAGACAGAGTCAGAGCACGATGAGTCAGAAGAGTATGAGGAGCAGGAACCCCCTCTGAAGGCTGTAACCAGACCAAAGGCCCCCCTCAAAAGTGCCCCTCCACCTATGAACTTCACAGACTTACTCAGGCTGGCTGAGAAAAAGCAGCACGAACCTGTGGAGATTAAGGTAGTAAAGAAAATAGAGGAACGGCCCAGGACTGCAGAAGAACTGAGGGAAAAAGAATTCTTAGAGCGAAAACACAAAAACATAGATAGAGGAAAAGAGAAAAAGATACTTGAAAGAGAGAAAAGGCTAGCTCCTCCAACTATATCTAAAAAGGTTCCTTCCTCCAAAGAGAGTGTTAGCGCAAGACACAAAGGTCCCGGGGACAAACATTCCTCTTCCAGGGGGAGCCACCTTCCCCAAATAGGTGCTGAGAAAAAATCTAGACCTTTTGCAGCCGGTGAGAAACCTATGAGACTGCCATCCAACAAGTCCCAGCCAGGAGAGAGGACCAAAGCAGGGTCTGGAGACGGCTTCCAGCACTCACCAAGTGAAAGCCACAACCTCTTGCTTAATGGGGCAGAGAAGTCCCGACCCAGCTCTCATTCTATGGGCACAGGGATCTCAAAAACTGTGGTTCGTGGGACTCAAAAATCCAATGAGTACAGGCCTCCCAAATCCCCTTCTTCCCATCCTAGTCATTCCAAGTCTGGGGCTATCTCTACTCCACATGACAAGACAAGAAATTCAGGTGCCAAGCAGCCAGGAAACAGTTCTGGCTCAACCTCAGGGCGGCCGGGCATAGGGACTTCTCGGCCAATCTTAAGCCCAAGCCCTAAGAGGCACGGTGGCAGCTCCAGCTCAGGAACTGAACAGCAAACCAATGGATCCAAACGCTTGATCAGTGGTTCAGGCCCCACTGGGCGACCTGTGAGTGGCTCAAGTGGCCGTGGGCATTCTACAGGCAGTTTAGGAAGCTCTGGCCGGTTAGCCAGTAGTACAGGCTCTACAGGGCGGATAGTGACCCAACCCGGGCGACCTGTCAGTGGCTCAAGTGGCCCTGGGCGACCTAGCTCAGGTGGTCCTGGACGACCCGTGAGCGCCTCGGGGGGCCCTGGGCGACCCCTGAGCGGCGCGGGGGGCCCTGGGCGACCCCTGAGCGGCGCGGGGGGCCCTGGGAGACCCCTGAGCGGCGCGGGGGGCCCTGGGAGACCCCTGAGCGGCGCGGGGGGCCCTGGGAGAACCGTGAGCGGCGGGGGTGGCCCTGGGCAGACAGTCAGCGGCTCAGGCCCCCCTGTGAAGCCCAGGTGCACGGTTGTTTCAGAAACTATTTCTTCCAAAAATATCATCAGCCGGCCTAGCAATGGGATGATGAATGGGATGAGGTCCCCTCCACCTGGCTACAGACCTGCAGTATACCCACAAGGTAAGATTTGAACCCCTAAAGGAGTGTTGCCCACCATGGGGGAGCATCTACATTGACATCTATAGCTAGGGATCTATTGTACAGTCTCTTTCAGTGTGTTTGCTTGCTTATGAAGGAGAGGGGCATCATCTTGCTCATTCATCAGAGCTGCTTCAAACCTCATGGATGACAATATGAGATTTTAACTCTTGCCTCTAAAGGTGCCTTGGAAGCCACCCCTCTGCGAGAAGCTTTGGCTGCTGCACTTTTAAGCTTTGTAGCCTCCAAGAGATACCTCTCCTGGGCTCCTCCTACAGAGCCCACTGGGGCTCTGATTCTGGGTGTTGAGTTTCTGGAGTGCCAGCATGAAGCACTTGGCTGTGTGCTGGAGGGATAAAGGTGCAGAAGACAAGGATTCTTACCCAAACATACATATTAAAAATAGCTGGAGAGCAGTGTAATAGAATCTGGGATGAAGTGGTAACATAAATCACAGGTGAGTTGTAGAAGGAAATTGTGGGCTGGGATAGAAAGATTCATTCTCTCCCTCCTGACTTGCTCACATCCTAATACATAATTTGATCACTGAATAATAATTATTTTATGCTGAGGCTGGCTTGGGAGAGTTCATCTCTCAAGGGCACCTCTCATCCTACTGAGCCAATTATCTTTTAAAGAAGATTTGATAGGTGCGTTATTAAATAAATATGGAAAAGGTTTATTTTTGTATTTTATCATAAAACAGTTACCATCCCCTTAGAAGTATAATGGTTTTTCTGTGCCTAGGTACTCAGAGATCCCCGTTTCCCCCTATGGCCCGGAAACGGTATCCTGAGGAAGATGAGGAAGAGGAGTATGACTCAGAAATGGAGGACTTCATTGATGATGAAGGAGAGCCTCAAGAGGAAATATCAAAACATATTCGAGAAATCTTTGGCTATGACCGTAATAAGTAAGTTTAGTAAAGACCCAGCTATGTTGTATTTGTCAATTGTGAATAATTAAAATCATAGAAAAATAGAATAGTACAGGCATTGAACCTAAATGTCTTAACATTTGGGGAATGGATAAACAAATTGTGGTATATCTGTATGTTGGAGTGGTTGGGTACCTAAGTACCAAACTAAATGTGCATTTACCTAATCAACTAATAAGACATGATTTACTTTTTAAAAAGAGATTGTGTGATTTTGTTAAATAGTTGATCTTTAGTTACTTTTGTAACATTAATTTCTCATTTTCAGATACAAAGATGAGAGCGATTATGCGTTACGTTATATGGAAAGCAGTTGGAGAGAACAACAGAAAGAAGAAGCCAAGAGGTATGTCTCAGACAACACAGTTGTGCCAGTAATCTGTGAAAATCCTTTCTGCTTTTTGCAGTATGACTAGCTTGATGTTCATACTTGGTCAAAGCACGGACTTCATATTTCAAGAGATCATTGCTGGCAATCAACAGATATTTATTGAGCTCTTCCTCTATATGTGAGACTGTGAGAACATAGATGGAAAAGAAGTATAAATAGGGTTCATGCCCTCGAGCTTACAATCCAGTCAGAAAGAAGCTTTTACTCATAAAACAATTTGATTTTGTGGTGGTTATTTTTAACATTTTGAGAAAATCAAATTGATTTTAATTCCATTTTGTAATTGATTCTGTTGTGTATCACCACTGACATTTTGTTTAACTACCTAAACTCATTCCTTAGTCTTTAAGTTCAGAAGTTCATAATTTTAAAAGTTCAGCTTTCCTATAATGACCAGTTTTCCTCTGAGTTCAGTTTAAAAGTTTAGCTGCCCTATTAATTAAAAAAAACTCTATCTACCACTAGTTGTACTTGTATAACTAAAGGAAATATGTTACCTATGTATTTTTAGTTACTCTTGTAAGATGCAGGTGGACTTAGTCAGCAATTTTCTAGTGACAAGATGGGAGGAGGGGTTGCTAGCTCCATATTCCTAATTTCCAGCCAATCATATTGTTCCCCAAACCTACAAGGCTTCTGAGACTGTTATCAAATCATATTGTTTTCCCCTATCTACACTACAGGATTTGTAACCAGTCATTGTTTTTCCCATCTATGATGCTGCCTTCTGATTTTGGAATGCTCTTTCTTTTGCCTGTAAAAATGACCTATCAGCCCTCACTCTAGGTCTTTTGGCTTGCTGAGGAGCTAACACCCCCTTTTTGATAACTACTAGCCTTACTAATAAATGGACTGTGCTTGGAGCTTTGTGCCTTAGTTTGATTTCAATCACAACAATTTCTATTGTTGTTATCATTATGTATATTGCTTTCCTGGTTCTGTTTACTTCATTTTACATCAGTTCATATAAGTCTTCACAGGATTCTCTGTATTTATTATTTCTTACAGGATAACAATATTCTATTACTTTCATATACCACAACTTGTTTGGCCATCCATCATAGGCCATCCTCAATGAACAGAAACCTACTTTGTTTTTAGTTTTTTGCTATCACAAAAAGTGCTGCTATAAATTTTTATTTTCATATATTAGGGCCTTTTTGTCATTGACTTCCTCGGGGGATATGCCAAGCAGTGGAGTCTCTGGCTCAAAAGTAAATACATTTTTGCAGTTATCCAGGTTCACAACTTAGAAATTAATCTTGACTTTCTCACCCTCACTCACCCTTTCTTTATTAGATCAGTTGCCAAGTGATCAATTCTACCTCCACAAGATCTCTTACTTTCATCCCCTTCTTTGTGCTCAGACCAAAACCACCTTAATAATGTTTTCATCCCTTCTTGCTTGGACTATTCAGTAGCCTTCTAGGTGATGTTCCTACCTCCATCTCTACCGTCTCCAATCCATCTTATTAACAGCCGCCAAATTGATATTCTTCAAGCACAGTTCTGACCATGTTACTCTTCTTCTCGAGTTTCATTGGCTCTAGATTGCCTTAGAATAGAATACAAACTCATCTCTTTAACAATAATTGACTTTCACAATTGGCTCTAATCTACATTTCCACCCATTATTCCCTGCCCTCTCTCCCCATTCTACATTCCTACCAACCTGCTAGCTTATTATTTCCCACACGCTACGCTACATTTTTTTCTCCCAGGTGTGTGCCTTTGCACAGACTGCCTGCCAAGTCCACGATGCCTTCCCTTCTCACCTATCCCTTCCTTTGGTACCCAGTCCTACTATGTTTCCCTTCAAGGCTTAGCTTTTCTAATTCTCCCAGTTGTTCATGCTGCTCCCCTCCAAAATAATTTTATTTTGTATTTATTTATCTATGAATCCCATTCCCATGGAAGAATGTAGGCTCCTTGAAGTTAGTGATTGTCTCCTCAGTGCCTAATGCAGTACCTGGAACTTAGAGGATGCTTAATGCTTGAATTTAATTATATTCATCCTCCTAGTAGGAAAGTAGAGGGAAATATTTTTCTTTCTACCACTCTCCATGGGCTTTCGTGACAGAGTGAAACCTCGGTTCTCCACAGTGGCTGATAGTTAATGACCATTTCTAGGAGCATCAGAATAAACACAATGGAATATTTAGGGGAGTATCTTTATTTAATAAAGATTTATGGGGGCAGCTAGGTGACACAGTGGATAGAACACCGGCCCTGGAGTCAGGAGAACCTGAATTCAAATCCAGCCTCAGACACATAACACTCACTAGTTGTGTGACTCTGGGCAAGTCGCTTAACCCCAATTGCCTCACAAAAAAAAAAAAAAGATTTGTGGTCCTTATTCTTAATTGTAAAATCTGTCATGTGATGTTTTCTCTCAAAAGAGTAATAAGCTCTTTTTACTTATACATTTTCTTCAATTATGTTTACCTCCTCCATCAGGTGGCCTTTGACAACAAAATGGTTCTCTGCCATTCCTGAGGTAGTTTGATGTTTGAGCTCCACTGCCCAAATGAACTTGCATTTAACATTTTCAGTGTGGTTATTTTTATTCTATCTTGCCTTTTGAAGAGGGCATTTGTCTTGGATGGCATAATAGGAGTATTATTTCTATTCTTTTACAGCTTGAGACTTGGTATGCAAGAAGACCTCGAAGAAATGAGACGAGAAGAGGAGGAACTCAAGCGCCGGAAAGCCAAGAAAATGAAACTGCGTTAGTTGCAGGTTTTTACCATTGGGAGAAAACATTTTATCAAGAACTCTCTACAGACTGGAAAAAAAAAAACCCTTTTTCCCTTTGGTTTTAATTTGGGGACTAGAGAAGGTGATATGTAAAGGAAGCACTGGAAAACAAGGCTGTGGTTTGAACAGAAAGTATTTATTTTTAATACTTGCCAGGGTTAAATCTGTAATGCAGATAAAATGTAATATTCATTTGAATGTTTATATGAAATGAGCTGTTCAAAGATGCCAGCAATGATACTGATGAGCTATGCACACTGATGTGGGAGTCCACTCACCAGTTGTTAGCTAGTCACCTGTTATTTATTTGACAAGTGAGGATTATTGTTCTGTTTTCATAGTTATTGCCCAGATACATGGGTAGGACATCCCTGAACCAATAAGATCATGTCATAGGCTTCTCTTAAGAATAGTAACCTGTAATGTCAGTCTTTTCCATAAATGTTGCCAGCAATAAAGGAATCTGCCCTGGCCTATGTATTTGAGAGTCCTGGGGTCTTAAAATGATAATTTGACAGTATAGAATAGGGTTCATAATTTCAGAATGGCTGCTATTCCTATGAATTTGAAATAAAAACGTAATGAATTATCTTGGATTCCACATTATCCAAGGATTAGATGCTGAGCATTTTCAATCACAAATGTATATGTTATATTGTAGTTACATAAGCTATGCCTCTTGATATAAGAATATTCTTTACCCAGTTTTCTTTACAGTTTTCTTATGATTACCCTGGTTCTAAGCCAAGGAAAAGTAGAAAAGGTCACTGTGTAGACTGATTTTATTTTTAAAAATCCACTTTTATATTGAAGAAAGAGTATTCCTAAATAAAGGAGTTCCTTTATTCTAACATTAGATTTGGGAGCATTATATCTAAAATAGAAGCTAAATATGGCTTGGTTTCCCCCTCAGCGTTCCTCCAAGGTGCACTTTTAGTGCCTCTCAGTATTAAAAATTTGCATTAAATAACTTAGTACCAATCATTTAAACAAAATGTAAGTTTTTATATCGAAAACATCACCTCTTTTGCTGGCGTTGCACCTTTATTTCAAGCTATGCACTGTGAAGAAAGCCCACAAAGTCTGTCCCCGGCATTGCTTTCTTACTAAGCTGAGGGGTGATTTCAGTCATTTTTGTCCATCCCACCCTCCCATCCCTCAGTCCATATGTTATGTGCTTTGAGCCACCTTTTCATGTATTTCCAGCAAGAAGACTTAGCTTCCAGAGAATGACTTAAGTCTCAAGAAATCATCAGGAGAATTAAACCATGAAATAACATTATAGAGGGAAAAGCCTGGACCTTAACCTGTTAACTGGAAATGGTAGAACATTGGTGGCACATCTACTGGTAGAACACATTCTCCATTGGTCTGTCTTGTCTTTAGGGGGCTGGGGTGGAGGAGTCCTAGAAGGATTCTTAATTATCATTATCTTCATTTCTTTGAACAGAACTTTGTGTCCATCCTTTGGTTCCCCATACTTTCCTTTTAGTCTTCCCACTAAGCAAAGAGAATAAAGAACCTGTGTGGGTTTCTCTCCTATCCAATATATAGATTGTGGTCATATCACGTAATGGGGCCAGATGATTCTGTTTACAAATTAGTTTGCTCAAGGCAAGTTCCTTCTGAACTATGAATAAATTGATATTCATTCTGCTGTGGTGAAGTCATAAAGTCCAGCACCAATGCCTGAGCTGCATAATTAAAAGTTTAAAACTTTGAAAGATCATATCTCATTTAGACCTGGTGACAACTATGCATTTTCGTTGTCACTAGAAAAACATTCATCTGTCCATTTAGAGCATTTGTGAGACACTGATGACCTAAAATCCTGGTGGCTCCTTTTCCTCTCTCTTCCATGCAGTAGCCACAAAGAAGACCAGTGCACCTGGTCCGGAAGACATCAGAGCTTTTTCCTGTTCCCCTACCGCTTCTGTGCTGCTTTTTTCCTCTTATACAGTAGATTATTGTTTATTTTCCATGTAGACTTGTAAAATATTGAGGCTCTGGAATAGTATACTACTAATACTTTGTGACTTAGTTGACAAATTGTTAGTGGCTTTTCATTTTGTTTTAGATTATGAACTTTTAGTGGTTTTGTGCAGTTATTACATATAATAGAAGCCTGTCATGTAGGCTCTTGGATTTGGTTGATTGCATCAAGTTACTATTCTTCCTTGTACCTGGGAACGCACATAGCTCTCATTGTAACATGGTCAGCTTGTGAGGCAGATTTCAGTCTTGCCCCTCTCAACACCAGCATTACAATAGGGTGCTTCAGCTACTAACTCATGTAGTTCGAGGAGGCCTTGCGGTTTGAACATTCATCTGGACTTTGTTTCTAAATCCTGTCTGCTACTCACCAGAAAATTCATTTTAAGTCAGTCTGCCAAACTTTGCAAAAAACTCATGTACCTTGAAAAGCTAAGAAACCAGAATAGGCTGTTATTCATAAAGGATCATGCATCAAGTGTTTAATTTTAATGTATATTCTACTTTTTTTTTATTTGGGGATATTTTTATTCAATATTTGAAAATGTGCCTTTTTATTAGGTAAGGTTAATTTGTGAATGTAGTAAGTACTAAAACCATAATGGGTGCAGCATTTCTGAAATTAATGTGAAAGTAGTTTTCATAAAACCCCAGTGTGGCTTTGATTGCACAATTACTACTGTCTATGCTGTTGCTAAGTCAAAGTAAGGGCACTTTCTATTTAAAGCTTCTTCCCGAAATTGTCTTTGTCTTTGTATACTGTAAATGTAATGTAATGTCTGCTTGGAGGCCAGGGTACTGCATATCACAGGCAGCCTTAGATAAAGAAGACTGTATGCTGTGAAGAAGTGGGAGTTAGAGTATCTCAGATTAACTGTCTATGAGAAGCTGTTAATTTTTTATGTAAATCTGAAGATTTTCTCTGAGAAATTATTTTTATTGTTTTGCATTTTGTAATTTAAAAGTGGCTGCAGAACATTTCTGAAGTATAGTAGGAGACCAAAACACACTTGGAGAGAGAATAAATATATGAAGAGAGACTGGTTGTTTTATTATCGATGTTTGAATGTATAAGACTAACATTTGGTGAGTGGACGTGATGCAATATGTTTGTATAATTGAGGGTAGCCCTAGATTTTCCTTGAGGTTATTGTTCAGAATCATTGTGTCTTGAACACAATGTGACAAATCAGGTGTAAAAAAAAAAAAAAAGAAAAACCCTTTTACATAGCTGTCTTTCTGGTGCCGTTGAAGTGCGAGAATACTTTTGCACATACAGAAAATATAGGTGAAAGTTTTTCAATTGATGTATAAGAGAAATTATAGGCATTAAAAATTTTATTTATACTTTCACTGGTTTGCTTTTATTTACCTAAAACTTGAGGTTTTCCATAGACTACCTCTTAATTCCAGACATTTCTGCCAGGTAGAAACCCCAGAGGTGCCAGAGGTCTGATGTATTCTGGGTGAATACAGAAGTGTAATTTTTTCCTGCCCTCACATTTCTTCCCTCTTTGACTCACTGATCTGCTGCTGCTGTTTCTTGGCAGCCAGATAACACTTGTTTTCTTGATCAAAATGAGAAGGTGTACCTGAAGAAAAGGGGCAGAGCTAGGAAAGCAATGGGGTTGAGGGGGTCAATGGTCCATGATAGAGGGAGATATGGGATTAGGAAGGAATGGGAGCTGGATGTAATAATGCAAAGGAGTTCTCATGGAATAAAATCAGATCATCCTTAGAATGTGAGAACTCTAGGTATGTATGTGCTCATGAGTTGCATGAAGTCTATTTTAAAAGGTGAATTCTAGAGTCATGAGCTTGAAAACAGACCTTAGTGATCACTTAGTCCAAATACCCTCATTTTGTAGAGGAAACTGCCCAGACAGCAGAAGAGAACATTCCTTGAATGCTTGGAACTTTGCCATATATATAGTTTTCTTCACAGATCACTTTCATTTCCAACACCTCTCCCTTCTCTGCTTTTTTTTGTATTAAAAAGAAAGGGGTGAGGGAATGATGTTCATTGGGTGCAGTGAGGTTGTTTGTAAATGTGTCAAGTTTAAGTATTGGCCACATTTTAATATAACATTTCAGTACAAATTTTTCCAAGTCCCCACTTCTGTTTGGTCAAAACACAACAACATGCTCATGAAACTAAGGAACTCATTATAGTGGAATCTGACTTGTATTATTTTATGGGGGTCTGCAAGCCCACAAACTACCTTTATACTGATGGCAGCTGGGTGTCATAGTGGATGGCACGTATGACACACTTAGGAATCAGACTGACCTGAGTTTGAATCCTGTCTTAGCTGTGTTACCCTGGGCAAATCACTTAATCTTTCTGTGTTAGTTCCTTCACCTGTAAAATGGGGATAAATAATATCATCTACCTTATTACCTCATATAATGTTGTGAAGATCAAATGAGTTTAATACATAAGGCTCTTTGTATATCTTAAAAGTGCCACACTAATACTTCTGTACTAGCTTTTACTCTTGTCTATTTTATGTGGTATACTTTTTAGAAAGTCAAATGATACTGGTTCAATCTGGACGTGTTGTTCTCCCTTCAAAGAGTTCAGGGTAGAATTGGCCTGTAATTTCTGGTCTCCTTGTCCTCCTCCATATATCAGTCTTCAGTGTCTAGTCTGACCCCATACCTTCTTGTCATAAGGACCTTATATTCCTAGTCAAAGAGTTTCTCGGTCCTAACTTGACTTACGTATCAGAACACACTTGAGCAACAGCAGTTGGTCTTATGCCCCCAAAACAACTTATTAGCCCTAAGATGGATGGGTGGTGCTGAAGACCAAAAGGAAATTGCTATTTCTGTGGGTGTCCTTATAATCTTGGACCCTAATAACCACATTCGGACAACAAATGGATTGTTGCCCAGTTGGTTACATAAATATTTTGGGCCTTTGAGTCTGGTCAGTAAGATTCGGGACTAGCTTTGTGACTATAGAATAGGTTATTCTATGGATTTTTAAAAAAGCATTGAGTCTATCCCCTTGCTAAGCAGCACCCAGCCCTGAAAAAGCAAATCATACTGCTCTGCTCCTGGGCTCACTTGTTACCATTGTCTTAGGAAAACACTTCCAGCTAGCACACTGAAAAAGTTGGTCCTGTGGGGCAGCTAGGTGGCACAGTGGATAGAGCGCTGGCCTTGGAGTCAGGAGGACCTGAGTTCAAATCCAGCCTCAGACACTTACTAGCTGTGTGACCCTGGGCAAATCACTTAACTCCCATTGCTTCCAAAATAAAAAGAAGAAAAAAGTCTACCAAAAAAAAAAAAAGAAAAGAAAAAGTCCTGAATTCATTCCATTTTCCTTCACACTTTGATTGTGCCTCAACCTCTGCATATATCTAGGATTGCTAAATAAACATCCCCAACCCCAGAAGAAAAAGTGTTTGCCATGGGTTTTAAATGGCACCTCAAATACTTTCTTCTGGGAAGCACATGCCACATTCACAAAAGTTTTGGCAGAAATTACCATCGTTCAACACCTAGAGACATTTATTTGAGTAGTCATCTAATCTTAAAGGAGGGATGATAAGCTAGAAGAATACCAGATCACAATTCCTGTCCCATAGCACCCTCTACCAAATGCTTCTGGGGACGAACAGAGGGTTGTAAAACCTAGAAGAACTAACGCCATTTTGTTCCCTGAGGAAAGAGAATCAGTGTAGGGACTTTGCCAGCCACCAACATCCCCCATCCACCACCCTTACCCCCACCACCACACCACCACACCACCACACCACCACCACCAGCAGTTGCAGGCTAACAGAATACCAAGTCCTCATTCGTCTTAAAAAGTTCGGTAACTTTTACATAAAATATGACAAAATCACTTGCAATTGCTTTATGCGAAACCAACAACAGGAACTGTACAGCGGGCCAGGTTTAGTTTCATAGTTGCATTGGTTCACCAGGATCTTCTTTACCTAGTTCCAGCTGGGTCTGGAAACAGGAAGTTGTGAGGTCAGAACTGGTTTGGGGGTACTGTGTTGAAGCTGGGCTGAAGGGAAGCCCCCCTTTAGGTTTGGTTCTCTCCAAAGGGAAAGGGCATCATATCTATATCTCCCTTCCCCAACCCACTAGTTCCACTCCAGCTCCAAGAAGGAAGGGACAACAAAATTCCTTAGAAAAGGGTTGGAAGGTGTGGGCTTTCAGGGTGAGGTCAATCCCAACCAGGTTTACAAGGGAGTATGAAATTGGGTGGTGAGGTGGTGGGCTTGAGTTTGGACACAGACCCTAAGGCAAATTATAATGTCTTTAGCCTTATACAGAAAGGGCCACAGCAACACTTAGAGATACTCTCTGGTCAAGGACAAAAGTACAATTCAGGAAGTGTGCTCCTCAGTTCTGGGTCAAGGTTCACATTTGGGTCATTCTCTTAGCAAGGGATTTTCTCCTTTATCGGGATAAATTTTAACCCTTTACTTTGGGAGCCACTAATATTTCAGAATAGGGGGACAAAGAATAACATAAAATGTGCACTTACCCCTCCTGGGGGATACTTATATCCCTTCCATATCGTTCCTGCAATAAGAACCATCCAGAAAACCACAATCATTGTGGAATTCCTTGCAGTGTAAGGGTGGTGCAGTAACGATGAGTGGTTTGTGGAAGGTCAGATGTGTGATTCCCCGGATCGCTGGAGCTGAGAAGTCTTCATCACAGAGGGAAGGGTGGGAAGCTTGGCATGGTAATTTTAATCCCTGACCAGGCAGGCCTGTGGTCTCACCTGAACTGAAGTGGTCCCTTGGGCATCACTAGGAGCATAACTGGGCCACCAATTGTGACATCTAACATGTGGCACAAAGACTGTGACTTCATCATCCTACTCAGGGATACCAGACTAATGACAAAGGGTCAGGACAGAAGACTGGTGTTGGGACTCAGGATGGGCTAGTTCCTGGGCAAATGACCTCTGGCTAAGTTATCCTAGCATGGCTGGAGAAGGGTCTGCTTTCCCACAGATCAGCTCCATTAAAGAAACTATGTACATGTTCAGGACATAGCCAAAGTACCCCCAACCCATTCACCTGCCAACATTTTTTACCATCTGTATGAAATTAGATATCTAAGATTTTTGTATGAGTGATTTAAATGGGCCAAAAACAGTCACCCTCAAAATATCCAGTGGAAGAAACTAAGATAAATTGGAGGCCTATGAGAAGTAATTCTACCTACTTCTATGAGGCTCGGCCAAAAGGGGAATAAAAATCTGGCATTTCTGAGAATACACATTTTAGGAGTTCCAATCTCATCATGCAAAGTAACAGCCCAGGGTGGAAGGGGCAGGGTGGAGAACTGTTCTCTAGCTGTAAAATGAGGATAAAGTGACAACCAGGCAGGTGCCTGATGCCCATAGTTCATTCTCCTGCCCCCATGCATATCTGATTTCTTAGAGGTTACTCTACCTTCCCATCACTCTTTGTATAATTAAAGTATAGGGGGATGACAAGATCTTTGGGCAAGAAGGTCAAAATCATCTACTGCTCTTTGAAGGATGCCATCCTGATTGAGGAGAAGAGTGAGCTATGTAATCTGGTGAATTGTTAAAACCCAGAAACCCACCACTTTCTGTACCACTGGGAACCAGCCTGGAGTAGCAATTGTGAAAGACATCAGGGTGGGATGGGAAGAAACCCTGGGACAACTTTGGGCCAATGGGAGGTAGATAGCATAGGGTCTAAAGGTATAGGGAATGCTTTGTCCATGGTTTCCCCACCAAACTGATATGTCATAATGTGTTTTTCTTTCTCTACTTCATCAGATCAGAAAAATCACTGTACTTACCGCTTCTGGGGGATACTTATACCATTTCCACACCATTCCTGTAATGAGAACCATCCAGAAAACCATAATCACTGTGGAATTCCTTGTGGGATAGGGGAGGTGGGGTTCCCCATCAGGAAATGAGCTTCTCCAGACAATGTCTTTGTGTAGCCATGTAGAGGGAAGGGAAGCATAATAGGATGAGTTGGGGGTGAGGAGAATGTGAGAGGCCTGAGTCAATACTCACTTATCCTTGTCTTCATCCAAAAGCACACTCCTTAGTCGACCTTTGCGCTCACGAATAGGCTGGACAGGCTTTCTCTCTATCCATTTTAGTGTTGGATGCTGGACCAAAGGGAAACCAAGAGACAGGATCTGCTCTACCCAGAGGCAGAGGGGACTGCCTTCTATGGGTAATGACTGGGGAAGGAGGAGGGAATGGGACAGAAAGACCCCG